ATTATGTAACAGCCCAAAATCTCAAGTATTGTTTAATTGCATTTTGGGGTGTTTTAAAGGGGAGACTCGGCGAGTTGGAGCCAGACTCGCCGAGTAGGGTCGCAGTTGTGGTCGCGGGTTCGCGGCTGGACTCGACGAGTCCAGGTATGGACTCGGCGAGTCGACGCTGTTCAGCGGAAAACCCTAGCCGTTCAGTTTGGGACGTATATAAGGGATCTTATGCCGTCATTGCTCGTCTTTTGGCCGATTGAAGAGAACCCTAAACGACTGAGGCGTCTAGAGCAAGCTTGAAGGCCATGGGTGACCTTGAAGGAATTGTTGTGCAAGGGGAGAAGGGTTTTAGTTAAAGGAACTGCAGGGAGTTCGAGTTCTGAAGTTTGGGGACATGGAAGGTACATCATTCAGGTAATAACTCGGATTACATTCTCCTGTGATTGATGTGTATATAGATTTAGGGTTTATGGAACCCATTTGGAGTCTAGATGGTTTGTTGTGTTGTTATTCAACGTTTATAACCTTGTATTAGGACCCTTAGAGGTCCAGAAGGATCCATGTTTGTATATTCGGGAAAATATGTACCTCAGGAAGCAGTTCGATCGACTGCATGGCGTGGACTCGCCGAGTCGGATGATCAGACTCGGCGAGTAGCTTGAAGATTCACTGGGACTCGCCGAGTTTGTTCTTCAGACTCGGCGAGTGGAGTCGGGGTGGCCCGCGATTCTTCCAGGAGTAACTCGTCGAGTCAAAGGGGATACTCGACGAGTAGAAGGGGAATTTTAGAGGATTGAAGAACGACCAGACTCGCCGAGTCGCCAGGGAACTCGCCGAGTCCAGTCGAGCTGACAATGGACTGTTGACCAGAGATGACCGGTGTGATTTCTTAGGGTCAGTTAACGTGGAAGATAGAAGTGTTAATAAGAGATATATGATGTTACAGGGAGCTTGTAGCTCGGAGGATCAAGTGCAAGGGACTTCAGGAGTTGCTATCTCCCAGCGTCCGCGAGGTGAGTCTTCTCACTATACTGTACCCGGAAGGGTTTGATTGTGTGACCGGAAGGTCGAACATGTTATGCGTTATGTATTCATACTGTAAATGGAAGTTAGTAGCTACGCGTGATATGCATGTTATATGGGCCGGAAGGCAAAGTATTATGTGACAGAAAGGTCAGGTATGATATGTGATATATGTGCTTTATGTGTTAGAGTATGTTTCGGGCCGGAAGGCAGGTTGATATATGATATATGTGCTTTATGTGTTAGAGTAATTGTATTATGTGTTATATATGTGTATGGGCCGGAAGGCAATTATTTTATGGGCCGGAAGGCAATTATCTTATGGGCCGGAAGGCAAATATCTTATGGGCCGGAAGGCGATTATCTCATGGGCCGGAAGGCATTGTGCAGTGGACCGGAAGGTCAGGGCCTGGAAAGGCGTACGTGCGTAAGGTGTATATTGGGGAACTCACTAAGCTTCGTGCTTACGTTGTTTATGTTATGTTGTTTCAGGTTCTTACAGTAACGCGGGATGGCAACGGTTCGATTGTACACACCGAAGAAAGAGTTGTGTTTTGGAGGATCCTGGTTTTCTATTTAACTGAAAATGAAACTACGTTTTGTAATTCTATTATGAACGAGGTTTTAAACAAGTGTATTAATATTAAATTGATTATTTATAAAAAAAATTTTGTCTTGAAAATCACGGTGTTACAATTGGTATCAGAGCCTTGGTTTGAGGGATTCGGACGCGCCTACGGGTGAATCTGGACTCAAACTGAGGAAGTAAGAAAAAGTTTTCAAATAAATAGTTTTCTAAAAGTGAATAAGAGTTCAAAGAGAAAGCAAGAAAGAGCAGTGTGTACAATCAGCCAGAGCCAAACGGTGATTTCCCAAAATACCCTTACTTTTGTGTTATGAAATATCTATTATGCACTTTATGAGATATTATTGCATGCTAGAGACAGGCTAGGAATTTCATATCTTAGGACTAGAGTGGCCTGATTTGTGATGCCTTAGCCTAGGGTTTGTTGTTATATGTGCGTTATGCTTTTGTGTGTATGTGATGAGTGAGGGTATCTAGTTAGAACGCACGAGGGGTAGAGCTACAGAGTACAGTGGTACTTCCGAGGATGAGCCGAGAAGGTGGAGCTATCAAGGATAGGGAGTCCTATGTATGCTTCGATGCTCGAATGCTGCTTGCTTCGTGCTTTGTGGAGTTCTCGATGATGGGAGTCAGCTACTAAGTGAGTATGACGATACTCAGGAGGTAGATGGCTGGCATCATTAGGAACTCTTCAGCAGCTGATAGCAAAGAAGTGGGGGGACGGCGGAAGGGACTAGGGAGTAAACCTAGCCAGATGAGTGCGCTGGTAGAGTAGAGGATTTCGCTGGAGAGCGAGCACGCGCGATGGGATTGGTGAAAGAGTAACTCGATCAGCTACTTAGGAACTCTGGGATGGTCCGTGTGGAAAGTATGGGTAGATGTGGCAGGTAGTATGGGCCCGTACTACTGAAAGCAGAGGACCCATACTTGATACAGGGAGCATTCTGAAGGTCCTAAGGAACGGAATGAGGAGTGATGTCATGGTTCGAGTACCATACATCGGAGCAGATTGCGGGGTGATGTTATGGTCCGGGCACCATACATCGGAACAGATTGAAATAGATGTTGTGGTTCGAGTGCCATACGTTGGAGCAGATTGAGGGTGATGCTATGGTTCAGGTACCATACACCGGAGCAAATTGAGAAGGCATGTCATGGGATGAGTACCATGGTTCGTAGTGGATGATGCTGGTGACTATCTTGTTATCCGGTTATGATCGATGAGGTAGAGATCGGACGCTATGGGTTTTAGGCCTGTGGACCATGATTGAGGATGGAGAGGCGTTCCTTGAGAGGAGGAAAGGCGAGTACCTATCAGAGTATTGTGGTAGGGAGTTAAAGGGAGAGGGAAATTTCGGTCTGAGTCGAGAAATCAGTCGATAGAGGAGAGGTCACCTTCTAGGTGGGTAGTGCCATTTATGTTCGTGTGCAAGACACGAGGGGTCTGGTGTTTCAGTTCTGGATTTGGGAGTACACCCTGCAGGTAGTTTTCGATAATGACTTCCCTCAGAGCATCAGGTAGCGGGTGTGCCGCGAGACAGTGATTTACCGTGAGCAGACAGTCAGTTGGGACTGAGGTAGTCGAGAACCACACCACACCTAATTGAGAATGACAGGTTGTGTTATAGTGGTAGCAGTGAAGAGTTCAGTCGAGTTTTGCAGTGCAGAGAGTTTCGTCTATGTTGAGAGTGAGTTCCTGTCCTTGGGACAAATCCGGCGTTGGATATGGGTTGATGAGTTGAGATGAGAGGAACGATGATTTTGCGGTGCAGTCTACGAGTCAAAGATGTTATCGAGCAGTGCAGGTGCTTAGTATTAGATTGGTATGGGATTTGGAACGATTAGGGCAGCCGTGATGAGAAGTTCTTGGAGAGTTAACCAGAGGTTCAGAGTATAGAGGGTTGATTGACTTCATAAGGGGAGGGACTATTGGGCGTTGCATAGCACTTTCCTGGAGCAGGTACGATTTCGCTGGTGAAAGATAGTCGTGGGTTGATGGTATGCTAACTAGTGACGGTTCGAACCCTAGTGGGGGAGAACCGGGTGCAGTACGTAGAAAACAAAGAATTGCCAAGAGTAGTTATAAGTGGAGTATAGAGATGCAGTAGGAAATCATGAGACCAGAGGTGTCGATGATCGAGTAAAGGGGTCAGAGTGAGTTAATGCGGGAAGTACTTGAAGAGGAGAACGAACGTATTCATGACAGGTGATTGGTGTTGTTGCAAGAAGATAGAGAATGATTGGGCAGTCAACTTCCGGAGTCGGTATGCGTATCCTTGTTTGGATTTTGAGTGTCGGGAAAAAGGGATTTGGAGAATTATCAGCGCATTTCGTACGTCAACGTTATCTCGCATTCCAATCGAGAAATTAGATGCACCAAGGTTGTAAGGCGGGGAAAATATAGATTTAATTATGGGGTGCAGGAGATCAGTGGTGGTGGTAGTATTCTGGGATATTCGGGTATGATATCCTTATTTTGGAGTTATTCGGGAATCCCGAATTGAATCGACGTGTGGCATATCAGGTATCTGCGGATTTAGTAGGAGTCTTCGGGTATGGGCATTCAGGGAGATTATTTGAGAGGGTGGATTTTCGCAAGACGGGCGTTCGTTATGTTGATTGCCTCCATAGTCTGTGGTGGATGTTCGAGTCGCAGTACTCACTAGTCAGAGGGTGTTGTGATACTGCGTGGAGTTGCAGTACTCACTGGGTGGCAAGAGAATTTTTATGTTGGAATATTTTCGAGCAGCGTATGAGGTGGAAGAGTTTCGAGTTTGGGTAGCCCTGATATTGAGTCTTTGGAGCTTGGATGTTGAGTCGGGGGCGAGACGGGGGTCTTCGTCTCTGTCGGGAGATGCGGGGAGATACGCAAGGAAGAGGCACAGCAGAAACCAGAGATTAGAGTTGAGACGATCCTCGGTGGGATTGTATTTTCTCTCACGAGGAAAAGAAGATTTTGTGACTTACGTGTCACTGGGTCGGGATAGTGGTCACGGGGAGAAAAGTCAGTGGAATATTTGGATCGCGATATGGGTGACCGTTGGGGCTCAGATGTGGAGCCAAAAGTTGATCTGGTACTTAGTCTTGAAGAGGAATATGGGAAAGGAGCTTATCATGATGACATCTGAGGACACTTTAGAGAGGGCGAACGATGCGGACGTTCGAAGACATGTTTCGGGCATGTGTATTAGCTGTCGGAGGAAGCCGCGGTACGTAATTATCATTGGTTGAGTTGTTCCATATTAACAGCCATCATTAGTGCATTAGTATGCCGCCCTTTGAGCTGTTGCATGGAAGGTGATGTCGGAACCTCGTTCGTTGAGGAAAGGTAATGCATGGACCCGAGAGTCCTTGCGAGCAGATCCAGTGCATGTGTGATACAGGGAGTAGTGGCAAGGTTGTTAAGCGGATTTCACTAAGTGAGGGAAGGGAAAGGTATGTTGGGCGAGTGCAGCATGTGTATACGATTGCAAGAGGTGAACTCGTGAGAGTTGCCCTGAGAATTGAGAATAGGTCCCTCAGTTGTTCCGATATGGATAAAGTGGGCTTAGGATCGGGGAACCGGTGATTCAGAGTTTCATAACCCTTACGGGTCGTGTGATCATTGAGATTTAGAGCAGAGTCGCGTCTTGGGAAATTCTCGGTTGCAGGAAGTGGTGGACAGTACAGCGATCGTGTTTTGGTCGACAGAGCAGATGCAACAGGTTAATCAGAGGTTAAAGATCGTTTAGAGTTGACAGGAAGGTTGTGCAGACAGACGCCGTTACGAGCATGTGTTTCAGGTCGGCGACTTCGTATTCCTGACGGTCTCTCCCTGGGAAGGGGTGTTTCGATCCAGGAAGAGGGGTAAGTAGGGGCCCGGTATGTTGGGTCTTTGCGTGAAGGTGCGAAGGTAGGAAAAGTGGCCTACCGGTTGGAGCTGCCAACGGAATTGGGATGGATCCATGACACTTTTAGGTGTCGCAATTGAAGAGGTGTATAGCAGATGAGTCAGCAGTGGTTCTAC